CTATTCTCCAGTTGATAAGTGACCAAAGGATATGAAAAAGCAATCTTCAGAGGAAAAAGATCTAAGTTATCAATAGTCATATAAATGCTCTAAATAATAATTACAGAAATGCAAATTAACACTACTCTGAGGTACCACGTCACACCCATCAGATTGACTAAGCTAACAAAAAAGGAAAATGACATGTTGGAGAGGTATGAGAAAACAGGCATGTTAATGCGCTGTTGGGGCTGTGAACAAGTCCAGCCATTCTGAGAAGCAATTAAGAAACCATGTCCCAAAAGCTATTGCAGTGTGCATACCATCTGATCTAGTGATATATACCCCAAAGAAACTAGGTCTATTCCCCAAAGAGATCAAAGAAAGAGGAAAAGGACCCACATTTATAGCAGCTCTTTTTGTGGTGGCAAAGAATTGGAAATTGAGGGAATGCCCATCAATTGAGGAATAACTAAACGAGTTGTGGTATATGAATGTAATGGAATACCATACTGTAAGAAATGATGCGCAGACAGATTTCAGAAAAACTTGGAAAGACTTACATGAACTGATGCTGAAGTGAGAAGAACCAGGAGAACATTGTAAACAGTAACAGCTAATATTGTATGATGATTGTATGATGAAAAACTTAGCTGTTCTCAGCAATACAGTGATTCAAGATAATTCCAAAGGACTCATGATGAAAAATGCTGTCCACATCTGGAAAAAGAATTGATTGAGTCTGAATGCATATCAAATCATACAATTTTCACTTTCTTTATTTTTTGTGCTTTTTTTCTTTTGGTCTGTTTCTTCCTTCACAATATGACTAATATAGAAATGTGTTTTACATGATTGCACATTTTTAACCTATATCAATTTCCTTACCATCTTAAGGACAGGGGAGGAGAGAGAGGGAAGGAGAAACTTTGGAACTCTGAATTTTTAAAATTAATATTAAAATTTGTCTTTATATGTAATTGGAAAAATAAAATACTGTTAAAAAACAAAACAAAACAAAGATTTGGAAACTTAGAGGAAGCCCATTGATTAAGGAATGGCTGTGAACAGGTTATGGTATGTGAATGTGATAGAACACTATTGTGTTGTAGGAAGTGATGAAGGGAATGAGTTCAGAAAACCCTGAGGAGACTAGAATGAACTGCTGCAAAGTAAGGTGAGCAGAATCAGAACAATTTATACAGTTACAATATTCTAAAGACAATCAACTGTGAAAGACTCTAATCAACACAATGAGCAACCATAATTTCCAAAAGACTCATGATGAAACATGCTGTCCGCTTCCAGATAGAGAGCCGATTGACTCAGAATACAGATTGAAGCATATTTTCTTCTCTTTCTTTTTAAAAAATTTTTGAGTGAAAAAAATAAAAAAAAATTTAGAAAATGGCTAATTTGGAGATTTGTTTTTCATGACTGCATATTTGTAATGGGTTTTGTTTTTCTTGCCTTCTTAATGAGTGAAGGAGTAGAAAGAAGGGAGAGATTTTGTAACTGAAAATAAAAGAAAATTGAATTAAAAGAAAACAAAATAGCAATGAACTCCATGGATTTCCTGTTGCCTCTAAAACTAAATAGAAACTTCTGTTTGGCTTTTAAAAGTCTTCACAACCTGACCATTTCCTACCTTTCCAGTATTCTTACATCTTCACCAATGTCCTTGCTTTACTGTTCCTCATACACAGTGTGCCCTTTCTGTCCTGTTTCTATGCCTTTGAACTGGCTGTTCCCCACATCTGGGGTGTTTTCTTTCTTCACTTCTGCTTCTTAGAATGCTTGGTTTTCTCCAAGAATCAGTTTAAATGCCACCGACAGCTAATGCCTTCCTTCTGTTTTTTATACACCTTTTATCTTTACAATCTGTCTCCCCAGTTACAATTTAAGGATCGATCAATCAATCAATCAATCAATCAGTAAACATTATTAAGCATCTACTATGTGCCCAGCAGTATTCGTTGGCACAGTAAAAAATAAAAATAAAGGCAGGGACTTTCCTTTTTTCTCTGTATCTCCAGTGCTTTGCACACTGCTTGGTCCATAGAAGATGCTTAATAAATGCTTGTTGATGAAATGATGGTGTATCAAAATATATGTTGATTTTAGTTTGGAGGACTTGGTCAAGTTCTTTATAAAATTCCTCTTTTTCAGCTATCTGTAACATATGTTGAGGACAAAAACTGCAGATATGTTTGTGGTGGCTTCTTTGTTTATTCCTGAGATTAGTACTGAAAACTGCAGTGTAAAAAAAGCCAAGCATCCTCATGAAATGACTATTATGTTTCTTTTTGAGTGCTTTGTTAACAAACTCCTCCAACTCTTATGTACAGTTTTGAGAAAAAATAGCAAACTATCTTTCCATTTTGTTGCAACTACAATACGTCTTCTGTTCTCTTTTACCAGAACAAAAATGTAAATATGGGCATGATTTAATTCTTTATGTGAACTCATTGGCACCAACCTTCTAGTGACAATTCTCTCCATATATAGTTAGTTAGATTGGTCCTTGGGCAGCAGATCCATACTTGAAGGTTTTCCAGCATGGTCCCATCTGCCTGTCATTTGAAAGCACAGCATCACCTCCATGTCATGATGAGGTGTCAGACTATGTTTAAAACTCTATTTTTAGCCCTTTGATAGTTAGATGTTTTTATTTTTCGTGGGGTCACAATCCTGGAGGCTCCCTTTATGCTTTGGTGGAGGTACAAAGGGTCACATTCTACAAGCTTCTTCTTGCCTCAGTGGTAGCTCATCTGTCCCTTAGATTTATCCATATCTAACTGGTAGCGTCGTTTATATACAGCCCAAACTAGAGCCCAAAGAAACTGTTGGGTTTGTTTGTTTTTGTTTTTTTTTTGTAGTTCGTCCTCTTGGGCTACCCCCTCAACTCATACGGTGGTATGTTGAATCACTGGGGGGAAATTGCTCTCAGTTTCAAAAGTATTCTGGGTCTGCCCAACTAAAACTATAGCTGATGAGCTTATTTACCTTTAATAGCCAGCGGACACAATTAGTCCAAAGCAGGATGATAGAACTAATACTGGCTACCGCATCTCTAGCTTAAAAGATCAAGAAGAAGCAGACTGTTAAGGACTTGGTCATTGGGTACAGTGTGATGGTGATTCACAGGAAGCTTCAGTTAGACAAATATTGCCGATGCTGTGGGAGCCTCATGAGGTAATTAACCCAGCTCAGTATCACAGCCACCGTGGGAGTTAGTACTGAACCAGTGCTCTGCACAGAGCTGAAAATAGGAATGTAACTTTGAGGTGAATCAGGGTCATGAATAGAGGGAAACAGAAACTGAGGGACAGTTCCTCCCCTGCTTTTTTAGCTCACAGGACCCTGGATTTTGTACTATGTCTAGTAATTTCCGAAGTCACTCCTTTTTCCAGAAGAATGAACCTAGTTCCTGCTGCTGCCTCCATATTAAGAGGGTGGGAAGAGTCTCAACATACACACACACACACACACACACACATACATATTTCTTGAATAATGAATGAACAAATGGAAATCTTAGGAGCTCTACTGCTAAATTCTAAAGCTAAGAAGCACTGCTGTTTGGTTATTTCTTATTGGTTAAGATAAATCAGTTGAGAATGGAAAAGAAACCTGAAGACCAGGAAACATGTGAAACCAAATCATTGTAATAGAGTACTTCAGAAAAAGGGTAGGATATGGAATCGTTCACACCATTAGAAGATCTATGCCAATTATAAACAACTTCAACAAATATTTATTAAGCATCCACATTTGTGTCTTACATTGTGTTAAACAGTAAGAGAGATACATAGATTAAATAAAATATGTTTCCTGCCCTACCAGTAATCACAATCTAGTCAGGGTTGCACATTGTATGTATATATAATGTGTATGTATATATATATATGTATATATAAAACTATAATATAAAAGTAATACATCTATAGCTAAATAATGTTAATTAATAGATCTATGTCAACCTGCAAAAATCTCTAGTGAGATGCCATAGGAATCTGTATTGAGGCTCCTGTTCACTATTTTTATCCACTGCTTGGGTGAAAACAAAGAAAGCATTCTTATCCAATTTGCCAAATATACAAAGCTTGGAAAGATGGCTGACTTGATGAGAGTATCAAGGTGTTATCTCAATAATTCATTTTAATAAATATTTATCCATACCCTACTGAGAGTTAGATTTTGGGTTAGATAAAAAGTTTAAGATATAGTCCCTGCCGTCATGAAGCTGACAGTCTAGTAGGGAGATATGATTTATACACAAATAACTATAATACAAAAGTTAGGTGATAAGTGCACAAAAAAGATGTCTATAAAATATTACAGGACATCTGAGTAAGGAAAAGTCTGACTGAGAGGATCAGTAAAGTTTCCTGGAGGAGGTGGCATTTGAACTGGTTTTAAAGAATGAGTAGGATTTCAACAGGTGTGGTTTGAGGGGAGGGAGATTGAGCGACTGGCCTTCTAGACCCAGGGAAAAGCGCAGCAGGGGAACACATAGCATAGGGATTTTACCTTGACTGAGATGTAAACTGAGTCACCTAATGGGTTTTTCTCCTTATCTCTTCCCTGCTTATTGATAAAACATGGAGTTTTAATTATTTCAATTTTTATGGAAAAAATATTTAAAGCATTGATTTTTTTGTCCTAACAAAAGAGTATCACTTTAGAGTATAACTAAAAGAGGATCTTTATAACTTTCTAAGTTGCAGAGAAAACACTTATCTGCATTGCGTGTTCCTTATAATGAAATCACATGTGGTGAGAAAAAATAATTAGTGCAATGACTGATAAATTAGTAAGTAGGATAATTGGATCAGAGATTTAGAGCTACAAGGGATCTTAGAGTTCGAGTCCAATTACCTCATTTTACAGATAAAGAAACTGAGGCTGAGGGAGAATAAATTATTTACACAAGGTCACACACCTAGCAAATTTTTGAAGCAGGATTCAAATTCAGGTCTCACTGACTCCAAATCCAACCTTCTTTCTACTAACCCACGTTATATTTTACCAATGTCGATAATGAAGTAAACTTTAAAAGTTTTCCATCATCCCTGCACCCTTAACTGTCGTTACAACCTTCCCCTTTTCAGTGGTGCGTTTCGTTGTGTGTTGGCTTATAATGGCCTTGTCGTTTCTGGCAGCATCCTGATACAAGAAAGACCAGACAAGAGCAAAGGAGGATGATTGATGTGCTGAGTGCTACAGGAACCAGCCGTGTGTTTGAAGTCACGGATTCCCCAACTGTCCTCTCTTCTTCATTTTCAGAAGAGTAGTTCCGGCTGTTGTACCATTTGGTTTCATTCAAGAGCTGTTGGCTACTGTTGAGATGCTGTGGAATAGGCATGTGTGAAAGTATTTTTGTTTCTATAGTCTTAGATGCAGGAGAAATTGTCCTATTACCCAGACTATTGAGGAGATCAGGACTGGATGAAGCCATATTTATCTGTGTAGTAACTAAGTCATTCAGTGGAATGGATGTTGTCCAAGACTCTGTGGTTGTGGCATTGGAAAAACTAGTATTGCTGGTATTTACAACCAGATCTTGATATGTGGTTGAAGCTGGAGCCTCTACTGACAGTAACATGGGGCTTACCATGATAGTTTTGTGTTTTTCTAAATTAGCAGCCTTTACATTGGTTAGCCTGTTCTGTCTATTAAATGAAGAACGTGTACTTGGATCTTTGGTAGATGATTTTTGAAAAGCAAGCAAATCTGGATCAATACCTGCAAGGCAAAGAAGATGTCATTGATTGTCTTTCTGACTTAAAGGAAGAATTGTAGAAGTGTTGGATTTGAGAAAGTTTCTTAGAATTTACCACTGTATAAATTTACCACTGTGACTAACACTATTTGCAAATTGTGACTTACATTCCAAAAGGCTAGAAACATGTTGATGAAATTTAAATCCATTGCAACTTATAGAATGATTCCCACATTGATTGAAAGATCTGGTTAAATATAACAGAATGATTTGTGTTCATCAGTTTCTACTCAACGGATCATCTAAATGCCTCTAATGAGTTCAACTTATCAGACCTGGGTGAACTACATCCCAGGGTACTGAAAGACCTGATGAATATAATTGCTCAACAACTACAAGTGATCTTTAAAAAAATCTCAGAGAGGTGACACAGGATTGGAGATATATAAATATTCCAGTTTTCAAAAGGGGGAGAAGGTAGATCCTACAAAAATATAAATTGATGAGTTTGACTTTGATTTCTGGAAAAATCTAAAAATTAATTATTAATAATAGGGATGGTTTTTGAACATTTAGAAAAGAAAACCAATTACTGAGTCCCAGCATGGGTTCATAAAAAAAATCATATCAGATTAACTTGATTTTGTTTTGTAACAAGGTTACTGGTAGACTAGAGTAACGCTATAGTTAGGTTAGTGCATTTAAAAATTTTTAAATAATATTTTATTTTCCCCCAATTACATGTTAAAACATATTTTAAACATTTGGGTTTTTTTTTAAGTTCCAAATTCTATCCTTTTCTCCCTCCTTTCCCTCCCCCCCATCAGATGATAAGCAATCTAATACAGGTTATAAATGTGCAATCATGTAAAACATTTCTGTATTTGTAATTTTGTACAAAATGACTAAAAAAGAAAGAAAGAAAAAAAAGGCAAAATAGTTGCTTTAGTGTATAATCAGACCATATCTACTCTTTCTCTCGAGGTGGATAGCATGCTTCGTCATGAGTCCTTTGGAATTGTCTCGTATCATTGTTTTGCTGAGAATAACTAAGTCATCCACAATTCTTCATCGTACAATATTACTATTACTATGTACAATCTTCTCCTGGTTCTGCTTACTTTACTTAGCATCAGTTCATGTAAGTCTTTCCAGGTTTTTCTGAAGTCATCCTGCTTGTCATTTTTTATAGCACAATAATATTCCGTCACAATAATATACCACGTCTCCTTCAGCCACTCACCAATTGATGGGCATACCCTCGATTTCCAATTCTTAGTAATCAGCAGTGCCATTACTGGGTCGAAGAGTATGCACAGTTTTATAGCCCTTTGGGCATAGTTCCAAATTGTTCTCCAGAATGGCTGGATCAGTTTACAACTCCACCAACAGTGCATTAGTGTCCCAGTTTTCCTACATGCCCTCCAACATTTATCATTTTCCTTTTTTGTCACATTATAGATGTGAGGTGGTACCTCAGAGTTGTTTTAATTTGCATTTATCTAATCAATAGTGATTTAGAGCATTTCTTCATATAACTATAGATAGCTTTGATTTCCTTATCTGAAAACTGCCTGTTCATATCCTTTGACCATTTATCAACTGGTAAATTGTTTGTAAGTATATTTTAATACAGCAGTTTACCTGAATTTTAGCATTTGAGAAAAATCTCTCATAATATGCTTTAGATCAAGATGGAAAGTCTGGGCAGGATACAAATCCAGTTAGGTGGTTTTGAGGTAGTTGAATAACTAGAAACAATGAGTTAATGGAAGGGAAAGCCCCATTAATCTGTCTTTGTTCCTAAATTATTCAACATGTTTATCAATAACTTTAAAAAAGGCACAGATAGCATACTTATGAAATCTGCAGATTGGTGAAACTGAAACATCTTGGAAAACAGAGTAAGGAGCCAAAATGATCTTAACAGCTTAAATATCTTAAGATAAAATGTAAACAGGAAGAAAAAAAGATCAATTGCACAAGCACCTATGGGGAAAGCCTTAGTTAGACAGTTCATGTGATAAGGATCCAGGTGGTTTTAATAACATACCTTCCATTTCTAGAGTACTCCAAGGGTTTGAGCATTTAGAAAAGAAAATAGCAATTACTAAGTACCAGTATGGGTTCACAAGTGTTTTCCTTATAATAATCCATTGAAGTCAGCAGTCTGGACATCATGAGTCCCATTTAACAGGTAAGTAAATAAGCTTGGAGTGACTTGTACAGGATCAAATAGTAGGCAGGATTCAAATTCAGACCCTCTCATTCCAAATCTAATGTCTATCCCTCACTCCTGCTACAGTAAAGTTACCTTAGTGAACTATGACCTTAACATGAGTAGGCAGTATTATATAGCAGCCCCCCCCCCCGCAGAAGGCTACATTCAGAGAGATACAATACTTAAAATGAGGAAGGTGACCATTCTGATGTATTCTATCCCTGTTCAGACTCCATTTGGAGTAATGTGTTCAGTTTTGACACCCACAAACCAGGGCATATCTAGAGGAAAGCAACCAGGGTGATGAGAAGATTAGTGACCATGACACACAGGAGGAAAGAACTGGGATGTTTAGCCTGGATATGAGAAGGCAGTGCCTCAAATTGCCTGGTGCAACAGGATCACAGATCATAGGATTATAGATTTAGGGCCAGAAAGAACCTTAGAAGCCATAGTTGAGGAAACTGAGGCTGAGTGAGGTTAAGGATCTTGCCCACGATCATACAGCCAGTAAGTGACCGAGATAGGATTTGAACTCTGGTCTTCCTAAACCTAAACGAAGTTCCCTCTCCATTGTACCATCTCATCCTGAACACATCCCAAATCAGATTCTTCTTCTATATTGTCCCTAACTCCTACCACACCCAAGGCAATCCTTTTTAGATCAGTGATACACCATCACTACCATTCTCTTAGTCGTTTAGACTAGATATTTATAGGCTATAGTTTTAGAGGTAGAGGAGACCTTACAGGCCATTCAGTCTTCCTTTTTACAGATGAAATGAATTTCATTTTTAAGATACAGTAGTATCCTAGGATGAAGAGCTAGAAAGGACCTTGGAAATTATCTCTTCTAACCCTTTCAATTTAACAGATGAAGAATAGTACTTTTTTAAAATCCTAAATAAGAAGATGGTCTTCATACCATGCCATTCTTGACCTACTACTGATGAAAATTTCATACCTGGCTGTGGATACCTTTTCTAATAGTCTTTCTGAGGTGCATGCTCCAAAGGAGTTCAGAAATAAATCAGAAAAAATAAACGAAAAGGTCTGTGAGTACAAGAGAAGACTTGTAAAATAAGATGACGTGAGGCCTATGGAGTAGAAGCATGATGAAGTGGAAATAATGCCAGATTTAGAGTTAAAGGACCTGAGTTCAAAACCTGCCCTTGCCACCTACCAGCTGTGTGACCTTGAATGAGTGAATGAAGGAAAGAATGAAAGTTATTTTACGTTCTCTAGGCCTGAGTTTCTTCATCTGTAAAATGAGAAGGTTGGATTACATGTTCTCTAAGATTCCTTCCAGCTCTAAATCTATGATTCTATTACATTCCTTACTATAAATTTTGAATGTGAAATGATATTAAAATAGTTATATGTAGAAATTTATTCAATAAACATAGCTAAATTTCCTCTATTTTGCTGCAAAGTTTTCTCCTCTTTATTTATTTATAGGCTGGGTAATTGTATAATTAGATAGACTCAGAATGGTTGAATGGATGGACTCAGATTGGTCAAGAATGGTTCAGTGTTAGTTGGGCAGGAGGTGTCCAGTGGAGTGCCACAAGAATCTTTGCAGGCATATCTGTGTGCTTTAGGTAACTACTCAGTCTATGCTTCCTATACTACTATCAAACCGAGCCGTGAGATTTTCTCATGGAACCCTTATTTTTATTACATCAAAAAGAGGGGCAAAGCACATTTTGGGAAAAGCTGGTAGAGAATTCCCTATGCCCAAACATTCTACCTTTCCAGGATTATGGTTCGGATGTTCTACATCCTCAGAATGCCTGCTCAGTTTTTCAACTTGAATTACTAAAACTATATTTAATAATTTAATTAAACAATGATCTAACTGGTTTACTTCCCTCCAACTAAATTAATTAGTTTCTATTAAGGTGTTAATAAAATCTTTATTTCCTACAATAAAATGTCAACTTTGGATTTTGTTCAGTTCGTTTAGCATAAATGGAGGAGGATATTATGTTAAAGTCTTTTGTTCTCTTTGGAGGAAGGATGCTATTTGAATGTAAGGTTATACTTCAGTGTTTATGATTTGTTTTTTTAACCTGGCATGGACTTTTTATCATTATATTTAATAAACTAAAGGGAACTTAGGTGTTTGACTAAATGCAGTCTTTATTCATTAATTTTCCTCCCTGGATATCTCACAATCAATGTTTGCTTTATGGAAAGCAATTCCTTGGAAAACTGTTTTACGGACAGTCTATCACCAGCCACAGTGAGCTACTACTCTGATCTCACCAGTGGTCTTTTAAAATCAAGAAATACCCTATAAATCTTTACCTGCTGTGATGTTGTACAGAATGGCACTATGCCTAGGCTGTAAGATGCAACTCTCCAGGGTCGGGCAGTAAACATGAAGGCAGTTGACATTGTCATGGATGGGATCATGGAAGAAAATAGCCAGATTGCAGGGAGCTGTTAAAAAAGTGAAAAGACTGAATATTTGAAACTTTCTTTTATTGCCTACAAGACTTTCACTTCAGCCCTGCTTATGCTGCTTCAAAGAACAAAGGATAAACTCATTTATATAGCAGAGCTCAGTTCTGAATGACATTATGAACTTGACTCTTGTCATACCCATATTTCTGTGGTCCTGAAAGATAAGCAAGCTGGTTCACCTCCTGAGCCTCAGGTTTCTTATCTGGAAAATGCAAGTTTGGACTATATTTTCTCTAGGGTCCTTTCTACATCCAAAGTCTGACCATATATGATCTGAGATCACTTTTAAGGGAACTTTTAAAGAAATTCTCCGATAAGCTCAGAGAGAAAACATTCCCCATCTGGTAAAGGGTCCTAGATTGTCTGAGGAAAGAAACAAGAATAGATTAAGCCCCTACTATTTGCCAGTAGGCAAATGCTATGCCTATTGCATATGCCTATACGCAGTATGCTAAGCACTTTATAAATATTTCATTTGGTTCTTTTTTTTTTTCATTCTGCATCAGTTAATACAAATCTCCTTTTAAAGTCACTTTTTAACTCTTTCCAGTTTGCAAAGTATTTACATACATTATCTCATTTGAGCTTTACAACAATCCTGTGGTATGTGTATTTTCCAATTCTATATATGGAGAAACTGAGGCTCAGAAAACCTAAGGGACATATTCATGGTCTCACAGATAGTGCCAATGGAAGGATTTGAACATAGGCCTCCAGGCCCAGCAGTCTATCTACTATGTCAAAGCATAGATATGTAATGAGTTTACCCTCTTTGGGCAAGCATTCTTTTAAAATTTCACAGATTCTCATGGTTGTAAGGGCCCTTAGAGGCCATCTAGTTTATAGTTCAACCTATACTCGACCAAAAATCTCCCATACAACATGCCTGACAAGTGGTCATCTAGATTTTGCTTGAAGACTTCCATCGATAAGGAAACCAGTTTCTTTGGAATCAACCTATTCTACCTTTGACTAAATGTGAGAAAGTTTTTCATTTGATCATTCCTAAATTTGCCTCATTTCAACTTCTACCCAGTGTACCTAGTTCTGCCCTCTTCCACTTGACAGCCCATAATACCTCCCTCCACAAATCTCTTCCCCAGGCTAACCACATTAAATGAGTCACCCCTAAAGCTGAAGTCTACTTCTCTTAAGATAAATTTAAAAAAAAAAACTGTCATCCCTTCAATGTAAGACAACTTTCTTCCTGTGGCACATTATCAACCACGCACGATATATGAATAATAAACAGGGTGAATCAGAGGTCTTAACACAGGAGGCAAGTTGATCTCATAGATATCTGGGACTTGGTAGAATGGAATTCATAACTAGAATATGGTTCTAGAAGGGTACATTTTTTCCAAAAGGAGCAAAATATATAAAAGGAGTGGTATAGCACTATATGTGAATATATATATATGTCATATATATGTATATGTATATATTTGGAAATCCAGGAACCCAAGGAAAGAAACATGATAAAGAACATAAATAGAGAGACAGAATGTTCATTCCTGTTAGAGTATCCACCTGGGCAGAAGGAGAAACTAGATGAGTTGAGGAAACAGATGACAAACCTGTTACAGAAACATGACATTGCAATGATGGATTACTCCAATTATCTGGACATCTGCTAAAGCTCTCTTTACCAAAGCAAAATAAACAACAGCAAAAACAAACCCTGATAAATTGATTACCTATCCTAATGACAATTTCAACTTTCAAAAGATGGAAGAGAGGAAAAGAGGAGCTGCCATTCTAGATCTGATTCTAACCAATGAAGAACTTATTGCAGAAATGAAAAAAAAACTGAGGGTGGTGGTAGGGGACAGTGGTGGTAGTGAGTGAGATAGAGAAGAGGAAGAAAGCTGGACATAGTATGATATGTACTTTAGATTTGGGGAGTGCAGATTTCAGAGGATTGAAATAAAAGAGACAATCTAATGGTGTAGTAAGAATGAAATCCTGAATATTTCTGAAATCCTAAAGGAGAAATCAGATGAGGAAGAAAAGATGAGGAAAATTAACTAAAAAATCTGTGTTCACAGGAAATTACTGCCAACTTACATTGTTTTGTTTTGTTTTTTTGCATGAGGCAATTGAGGTTAAGTGACTTGCCCAGAGCTAAGAAGTGTTATGTGTCTGAGGCTGGATTTGAACTCAGGTCCTCCTGACTCCAGGGCCAGTGCTCTATCCACTGCACTGCCTAGCTGCCCCCCAACTTATATTTTTAAAAGACATTTGTTGAAGATGGGAGCAAGGATAGTAATTGAAAATGAGTACAGAAAAGTAGCCAAATACTTAGAGCCCAGAATAAACTAAGGCTGACTAGTTATTTAAAAAAAACAAATAACCTGTGTTTGGGAAAAGAAGAACAAAGAAAAATGCCATTGCTTGGAGATGAGTGTGATAATTATAATAGACATTGATGAGAAGGCTGAATCTTACCATCTACCATAACTCCCTCGTTCTTAAAATACCTTCACTAGATATGCTATCCCTACCAATTCCAGTGGCTTCCTATTAATTATCTCTAACACACTGTAAACTCATCTGTTTAGCTTTTTAAAGCTCTACACCATCTGTCTCCAGCCTATCTTTTCCAGTTCCATTGAACCTTACTACCTCTTCCTTATTCTGCATCTAGACAAACTGGCCTCCTTCTGTTCCTCGCATAGGACACTCCCTCTCTCTGTACCTCTGCAATGGCCATCCCCCAAAGCTGGAATGCACTCTACTTATCTCTAACTTATATAGCCATCTCTTCCCTGTATCTATAAGCTCATCCACCATCTTCTGCACGAAGTTTTCCTGATCTCCCCAAAGCTAATCACCTTTGTTCCAAAACTTTGTATTTAATTGCTTTATATTTATTCGCTTTAAGTCCATGCTTTATATATTTTTATATGTACTTATCGCCATCGTTCGAATGTAAGCTTGTTCTTTGTCCTTGGATTCCTAGTGTCTAGCACAGTGTCTGACACACAGTAGACTATTCATATATAATTCTTGATTGATTGTTCCACTTTAAGCTATCATCTTATGTCTTACTATTTTTCTCAGACAAATTCCTAGTAAAAAACCATTGTCTCCAGTTCCTTTCCTCTCACTTCTCAACCCTTTGCAATCTGGCCATCAAACTTACCGTTCAGTTGAAATTGCTCTCTGAAGTTACCAGTGATTTTTTAACTGTTGAATCTGACAGTTTTTATTCAGACCTCATCTTTTTGACCTCTCTGCAACATTTAACACTGTTGACCAACATCTCCTCCTGGATATTCTCTCTTCGTTGGATTTTTATGACTTTACTCTCTCTCGATTCTTTTCCTATCCATCTCGTCATCCTTATGAGTTCCCTTTGCTGATCATCAACTGTATCATACCCCTCCTGCCCCCCACCCCCTCAACTGTAGGTGTTCCCCAAGGTGCCATTCTGGGTCTACTCTCTCTGCACTCTCTCCTTTGATGACCTCATCAGTTCAAATTGGTTATTATCTTATATTATCTTATATTATATTATATTATCTTCTCTATGCAGCTGGTTCCCAGATCTATATATTCATTCCCAGTCTTTTTCCTGAGCTCCAGTTGCATCACCAACTGCCTGTTGTACATTTTAAACAAAATGTTCCATAGATATTTTAATTTCAACATGTCCAAGACAGAACTTCATCATCTTTTCCCCAAACTCCTCTTTGGAAGTTCCCTATTTTTTTTTTCCAAGGGAACCACCATCCCTCTAGTCTCCAAAGTTTATAACCTCAGTGTTACTCTTTACTCCTCACTTTCTCCTTTTCTATCCAATTAGTTCTCAAATCTTGGGAATTCTCTCTCCACTATATCTCTTGCATCCCTTCCCTTCTCCCTATTCACTTAGCTGCCACTTTCCTTCTTCCCTTTAACACTTTTCACCTACAATTTTGCAATGCAATCCTTACTGTTCTCCATGCTTCATCTCCACCCACAACTAATTCATTCTCCATGTAACTGCCAGGATGATTTTCTTTAAGCACAGGTTGACTGTGTCCCTCCCTTACCCAATAAAATTTAGTGGGTCTTTGCTAATAGAATCAATATAAACTCCTCTGTTTAGCTTTTAAAGCCTACCACTACCTGCCTCCAAACTACTTTTCCAACTTCATTTTACAATACTTTCCAGTTACTATAGCAGCAATGCTCAAGTGTGGTCTATGGACTTTGAGGGTCCCTGACACCTTTTCAGGGGATCAGTAAGGTTAAAAACTATTTTCATAATAATACCAAGATGCTATTTGCCTACAGAAATTATCCTGCCTTTTCCAATGACATATCTGTGTGAAGCTGAATTTTCTTCATATTCTTCAGATGATACAACATACTGCAACAGAGGCAATGCAGAAGCCATGTAAAGGGTCCAATATTGTTATTTTAAAATAAATTGAATAAATTTAAAAGTTTCCTGTTTCCATTTCAAATATGGTAAATAGTGATAGATATAACCATTGTAAACAAAAGCTCTTCGGAGTCCTCAGTAATTTTTAAAAGTCAAAAGGGGTCCTGAGACCAAAACGTTTGAGAACCTCTGTTTTACAGGCCAGCCAAACCTGCCTTTTTGTCATCCGGTATCCCTCACACTTGACAATCCACTTCCTCTATCTGTACCTTTGCAGTGACAAAGTTCCACATTCCTGGGAAGTATTCTCTCTTCACCATTGTCTTGAATTATCTCTTATTTCTTTCTCGGTAGTTACCTTTCACATGAAACTTTTCCTGATCCCCCAAATGCTAGTGACTACCTTGAATTTATTTAGCATTTATTCTGTATAAACATACATATGTATATATTGTCTTCCTCAATAGAATATAAGTTCTCCGAGAGTATGGAACGTTTCCTTTTTGTTTTTGTATTCCCAGCACCTAGTATAGTTCCTGGAACATAGTAGGCACTTAATAAATGCTTGTTTATTGATTTATTGCTACCTGTAGATGGCTGGCAGTTGGATGTGAATTTCCCCCTTTGATTTGGCAAAATTTCCCCCTTCTTCCTCCTTCCATGATCTTCTAGCTAAGAGTATTGCAATTAGGAGTACTAGCGAGTGAAAACTGGAGGCATGATTCTATCTTTTTTTTTTTATTTCATAAATTGGTATCTTCCTCTTCACCTAAAAATAATCCAGAATTTTAAAAAATCCTCCTAAGCTACATAGCAACTATGTTTATGAGGAACTATATTATTTTCACTGCTCAGGCATACCACCCACACTTACCATCCTTTGTAAGACAACAGCTCCTCCCACACTTCTGGCCTGTGCTTTCTGAGTAATACTTTAGGAACCGGGCTCCAAACTTCTGAGATTCCTCCAGGTCAATTAGGAAACCTGGAAAGCGTCGGATCCAGCAATCCTTGTAAAACACAGCGGGTGAACAGAGAGCGTCCGAACGCCACACCACACTCACACTCAGGACCCACAGCACTTCTGCTGCCGCCTTCACCATGCCACGCATTTCCTCAATATGAAAAGTTCAAGACAAGTCTCTTTTCCAGCATAGAAAGATGTGACAAGTCTTTGTTTAAGAAGGAATTTCTTGCGTGGTGGGGCCACTGCTAAGAAAGGGAGAATTTCTCCCAGACTTCTTGCCGTGCGGCTGCCAGCAAGCTTAAGTCAGTTTAGGGACCTGCATTTGGTTTTCTTTCTTTCTTTCCAAAATGAGCTCCCAAGAGAATGGTTCGTTTCCTGCTGTCTCTTTCTGGATAGTTTTCACTTCGGCGTTCCCTTGATACCTTGTTTTTTCACTCAGTCACAGAGAAATAGAGCCTCTGCAGTGTACTCCCTCTTTCCCTGAAATTGAACAGTCACAGAAAACCTTTACTACGGAAATATAAGGACAAATGGGGAACATAGGAAAGCTCTCTGAACACAGTATTTTGCTGACTTGAGCTTCAGATAACAGAATGATCCTGGTGAGATTTCACTTCAGACAAAACAGATGAACTGTTATTTGTCTCTAGTTGTTTGTTTTTTTTTTTTTTGGCAGACTTATTAACCTTATTTCTTTCCTTGAATTTGTTGCTTTCTCTGCCCTTATGAGTGTTTGCCCTTACAGTGCTTGGGTTTGTTTTCTGCTCCAAAAAAGCATTGCTATCTCATTTATTTAAACAAATACAAACCAAGAATGAAAAAGTTTACTACGAACTTCACTCTTTCCAGAGACAACAAACCAAGAAACAAATGATGCTGCAGCCTCATGTGACAAACCTGCTGAGATGTCCACAGTTCTACGAAGAGGAGTTGTTACTTACCTTGAAAACTGAAAGGAAGAGCGGATTTCTTAATGCCTACCCAAATGCATTGGACTGCATTTTCTTAACACCTGCCTGATTTCTGTGTCTGCTGGAGGATGCTGGAAGCAAGAGAACAGTACTCTTTTCTTTAGTGCACACTCATACTTTGGTAGGAACATTGCTATTCTTGACTGAGGAATGGGAGGCCAAAGGCAGCAGGGGAATTCAATTATTATTTAAGTGTCTGCTATTAGCGATAGCTTCAGTTACATTTTCAAAGGCAATACCACAGGAGCGGCCTTCCATCCCATGGTCCCCAAAGCTGATGAACTCTAACATACTAAAAGGATTGCTTTGTTAGTTTCCAATATGTCTAATAATGATTACAATTGGAGTAATAGATCATTTTGTTAGTGCTTTAAGATTTACAAAGACTTTACATGCATTATCTCATTAGTGACACACAGCCTTTTTTTTAATGAGTACAGACGTAGTATTCTCTCTCTAACCTCCTGTCTAGTGACATTTTTTCAGAATACAACAAGCAGTTTTTAGAAGTCATTCCTTACAGCTTTTTCTTCCTGCTGTTTACTAACAATAGACAAGTTAACATTATATAGCATATAGATTCTTAACGCAAAAAGGAGCAATGAAGTTAAACAGATGCCTGTTTTTAAGTTTCCTGTGATTCTTGTTATAACTACAGTTGAAAAAACAAAACATTGTACTTTCCTGCAAATATGTATTGCATCACGCATAATCACCATATAGCTAGATCAAAATGGTAAGATAGACCTTTGTATTCCCACATACCCTTTAAACAAACCGGTCTTACCTGCAGAAGTCAGATTCTTCCACCTGTTCGAAGGGAAGGGGGAAATAGCATTTTCTAAAGGGAAGGCAAAAAGCTGACATTCAAGATTGACTCTCCATTGTTCATTGTTCTCTATTAGAACAGACTTTCAGTTTTCTCATTACTCCCATATCTAACGTGATTTACCAAGACTAAAAATACTTATACTAAACATACTTTCCCTTTTTATAAGAAAAGATACACTATTCCTATTATGATAAGAAATCGTTCTTCAAAGTTCTCAGCTTCCCTGAAAGGACGATGGAACAATCCAAAACCTTCCTATAGTAGAGGGCTCTCAGTTATTAACCCTTTAGATGTCTAACAGGGATAAAAAAAGAATACAAAGCTATTTTTGATGGAATATGAAAGTTCCAAAGACCAGAACCATAATTAAAAATATAGGCATTATGTCTTACTCCTTATGACCAGCTACACTGGAAAGGAAGGAGTGCAATTGGACTGGGGTGTGGACATCAAGGATAGAGATTTCAGTTATGTACAGGTATAATGGGCACGTCCAATCTCATGACAAATTATCAAACAAAGCAGCAATACTTAGTGATCGTATGTAATGAAATGAAGAAGCCAGGAAACAAATGCAACTCAGCACAAATGATTATATGTAGCTATTGGATCACGGGGTCATAGAATTAGAGCTGCAAGGGGCCTGAGAAGCAATCTAGTCTAACTCCTTCATTTTACAGATGAAGAACTGAGGCCTAGAGAGGTGAAGGTCATACAGATACAGTAGTAAGTGGCTGAGTCAGAATTTGAGCCCATGTTCTCTGACTCCAAATCTGGAATGCTTCCCTACCATACTGCCTCTCTGTCACACTGCATGAATCCCGACAAATATATTTAGACTGCAAAATGCTATTTATTATATTGCTATAATAATAATTCCTTATATTTATACAGAACCTTTTTGGGAGGAATTCAAAACTCAGAAGACTATTGCCTCATTTATCCTCACAGTTTTCCTCTGGGAAAAGTGCAGGTTGTAATTAGCTTCATTTTGCAGAGGGGGACTCTGTCCAAGGTCACTTAGAAGCTGAGTGGTAGATTTGGGCTAAAAACCCAAGGTCTCCATAGTTAAATATAAAATCCAAAACAGCATCCAATAGACTGGACTTCTGTGAGAAATGTTAACTAAGGAGACTCAATTTTGCAGTCCGCATAGTTTGAGTTGCAGATACTGGCATAAATGAAATTAAACATTCAAATGACTGAAGTCAATGGAAGTTTTGCCTGGGTGAAGTCTATAAACTTTAAGCCAAAAGGGAAAAATTTAAGACTGAGTGCTACATGTAATTGACTTTAGCAGTCCCATATGATATCTTTTAATAGTATGAAACTATGTGATTTTTTTGTTTAAAAACAAACTCAGAAATAAAGTTGTCATAAAAATTCCTTTTCAAAGAACAGAATGCATAACTATATTTTTTGGCAAAATATTTGAAATGTGGGCTATGAATAGGCACTTTCTCTAACACAGTTTTCAAAAATCCCATTTTCCCCTAGGTTTTATACCATTCTAATTTAGACATTTTGGGTAATTAATTGTCTTATTCAAAGTTCAGAGACTCAAGAGTTTATCTTTCCCCCAAATCTTTCCTCCTCCTGCTTTCACTGCTTTTGTCAGGGATACCACTTGCCTCCTGCGGTCAAAACGTTGCTGTTCTCTCTAACTCGTCTATTTCCCTCACCCCTCATATCCAGTGTTAATGTCCTCTCAATGCTACCTTTGAGATAGCTCTTGTATATATATCTCTTTAGTCCTTCTGCCAACTAATACACTAATACAGGTCCCTGAAGGGGAGAAAGGAAGAAAGGCAGGAAGGAAGCGAAGGAGGAAGGGAGGGAAGAAAAAAGGAAACAAGTATTTATTAAGTGCCTACAGTGTGCCAGACATTGTGCTAAGTGCTTTACAAATAAAATCTGATCATCACAACCCTAGGAGGTAGGTGCTATTATTATCCCCATTTTATAGTTGAGGAAACTGAGGTAGGTGGAGGTTAAGTGACTTGCCCAGGGTCACACAGCTAGTTAGTATCTGAGGCTGAATTTAAACTTAGATCTTCCTGACTTCAGGCCCAGGGCTCTAACTACTGTACCATCTTGCACCTAGTAAGTCATAACTATTCACCTTCAATCACCTCCTAGTAAATTTTTTTTTGTCTCCAATATCTCCCAATATCTAATCAGTTCTTCACATCTGCCCAACTAGTCTTCTTTATGCATGGATCTGGTTAGAGTACTTCGCTGTCCCTGAAATTAACCAGAGATATTGCAGAAAGAGGTGAAATGGACAGGTCTTTCCACCTTATTGGATGTGGGAGGAGGGGTTGAGAGAGAGTGAAGAGTCCAGGATGACCCCTAGGTTGGGAGCCTGAGGTGTGTGAAAGGATGATGTTGTCCTCCACAGTAATAGGAAAAGTAGGAGTAGGGGAGTGATTAGTGAGGGAAGATAATGAGTTCTGCTTTGGACATGTTGAATATGAAGTCTATTGGACATCCAGTTTGAGGTGTCCAAGATAGAGCTGGGACTGCTCTGGCTGGAGAGAGAGAACACTTGGAGAACCCTCCAAGAGGTGATTGGGAGGATTTGAAGTCTTTGAAGGATACACATTTTGTGGCAGACCCAGGGTCGGTGGGGCTCTGCTTGGCCCTAGGTGTGGGCTGAGCCATGAGCTAACAAAGAGACAGAGTGAGGCTGGATGGCAGAAAGGGCTTCCCAACGCAGCCAGCTGTCCCAGACTTGGGAAAGGCTACCCTTCCCCAGAGGAGGCTAGGTCCCAGCTTCCTAGGCTTGTTACTGTGGGGTCTAGGGAATGAGATTCGGTTGTGCTGAGGTCCCTTCTATCTCTGGGGTCATCATGGGCTTTAGAACTTCAGGGGACCTCAGAGTTGGACCTCCTATCCAACTCCTTCCATCATGGGAGGGGATCAGGCTGGGAGAAGGGAAAGAACTTGGCTGGAGGCACACAGGCAGTAAGGAGTGGTTATTTGTACACAGCTTTGCTATATTTTCATATTCATTCATCCTCCATTCCTGCCTGGTTTCCATCTTCTGTACATGTCTTTGGAAATTTTGCTTCATCGTCCTTTCCAAATGTATCCTTTCCCTTCTCCACCCAGAGGACCATCCCTTGGAGCAAAGAATAAAAAAGAGAGAGGGGAAAAGGTTGATAGTAAAAAGAGCTAGCCTTTATATATGATTTCATTTGAACCTCACAATAGCCAGGGGAGGTAGGTGCTATTATTTATCCCCATTTTATAGATGAGGAAACAAATTTAGGGTTAGGGTATATGGGATGTTGAGAGAGGACTAGCTCCTCTGCTGTGAGGGCTTGCCTAGCTCTTCTCAGGGCCACTTATCCACCTTTGGTA